TTCAATGATTCACACACATCCATGGGTGGGCAACTGCAGTCGGTATATGGTGGGCCAATTGTGTCACTGTTTCTCTGTGTCATGATAGATCCCAATTGAGCGGTGGCAGCCTGCCTAAGGGCCGGCGTGCAATAGCGCTCGCCGCCGCATGGCTCCCCATGCGCTGGGAGCCCACCCTCCGGGAGCCAGCAGGCAGGAAGCTAGCCAGCCAGAAGGCTGGCGCTCCCCACCCGCAGCTCCCTGTGCACCGGAAGCCCTCCTTCCAGGGAACGACGAGGTCGGGAGTGAGTCGCCGGTCCAAAGACCCAAAAAAACCGGCGCTCCCCGCCCGAGGCTCCCAAAAATAAGCTTTTATAACATATAATCTGTCTTGATTATTACCTCTGAGAGAACATAAAATTGTAGAGAAAAAAATTTTTAAATTTACGTATAAGTACAGAAGGATGAAATCTTTCCAAATATTAATACTTAGATATCTACTGTCAATATCAGTATATTCTAGAATAAACAAACTTTACATAAATAGGACTAATTTATGAAAATTTCCTTCTTCAGATAGGCAGTTGTAATGAAATATATTTAATATAGTTGCACCCAGCGAGATAAGAAGAAAAACTTGAGCTGTCCCACAAGTTTACATGGTTATGCCCTATGGCTGAGCATTTAGCATATTTCTTTGTTTTTTCTTATCCAGCACAAGGGATTGAACGAAGAACCTTCATGTTAAGGTATATCCCAGTGCATTTGAATTCATTTTATTTTATTTGAGACAGGATCTCACTGAGTTGCCCAAGCTGGTCTCAAACTTTGGGTTCTCCTGCCTCAGCCTCTCAGACTGCTGAGATTATAGGCATGAATCACCAAGCCCAACTTTAGCAAGTTTCTGTACTTTTTTTTTTGTAAAGGTGCTTCTCTACTTTTGGGAGCTGCTACTTTTGGGAGCTGCAGTAAATGCCTTCATGTAATATCTTTCCTGGTACTTAAACTATTTTTTCAATTGGCATTTTAGCAGTAACATTATGTAGATTTTTTTTGGTGTTTGGTTTTTTTGAGACAGGGTCTCACTATATAGTGCAGTCTGGCCTTGAACTAACTTATATAGCCCAGGCTGGTCTCGAACTCTCTCGAATTCACAACAATCCTCCTGCCTCAGCCTCCCGAGTGCTGGGATTACAGCCAGCACGCCTGGCTGGCATAGAAATTTTTAAAAGAATGTTTTTGTTAAAATCCTGAAACTTTAAAAAATTATTTAAGAAAAATTAATTTCCCAAATAGGCAGTACATTCTCATGGTTCAGTAGCCTAAACTGCATGAAGGTATTATGTTAAAGTACTGATGCTGGGCACACATCTGTAATTCCAGCACTTGGGAGGCTGAGGCAAGAGGATTGTTGTGAGTTTGAGACCAGCCTGAGCTACAAAGTGAGCTCAAGGCCAGCCTGAACTGCATAGTGAGACCTTGCCTCAAAAAAAAAAAAAAAAAAAAAAAAAAAAAAAGTTCTGACTGAACTGCAGTAAAGGAGGCTAAAAAATAAATAGCTCAATTAAGATAGAGGATTTTTTTGTTACATAGTAGCGTACAGCGTTAGACTGTGCACTGATTGTTCAGGGACGCACATCCCTCATACCCCAAGAGTGCTTTTGTATTCTGAGTTATTCTTGTTCAAATGCTCACCACTACCACATCTGCATTCCAGCTCACAGGGAAGGGGGGAAGAATGGAAATTGCGTTCGTCACTTGTCATCTTCTAATGTCAAATCCTCAATCACAAAGACACACCTCGCGGCGAAGTAGACTAGGAAATGTGGTGTCTCTGTGGGTGACTCTGAGAACACAAAATTCTAGGGTTTGGTTTATAAGCAGGAAGAAAAGGAGAAGTGGATTTTTAGGAAAAAAATCACCTCTGCTTCTGGCAGAGGCCACCCAGGTGTTTGGGAGACGTCGGGGCCTCATCCAGCTGCTGCTTCCAGGCTAACTTCCGGGATTCCATGTGACATGCAGCGGTCCTTTGCACTAGACCGGGGCATGGCTTTCTTCCCCTGAAGACTCATAAAACAAGGGACAAATCCCCCACGTTCTGCCTCCCATAGGCCATACAGAACATAGGATAGGAACCACAGTACAAGCTGGTATTCGGAAAAGGAGAGATGGACAGAGAGAATCAGTCGTTAGCGACTTGCCGGCACAACCTTCTGTTGAGTGCGGGTTGTAGACTCCTTGTCCTGGCAGAGCAGTTGGTCCTGACTATACCTTGGTGCTGCGGTGTGGAAGCCCTTGTCCCTTTCCCTCTGTGGCTCCTGGATTTGCTGTTTAGGAGACTCTTTTCTCTGTCTTCCTCCAGACCCACATCTGCAGAGGCCCAGGGGGAACAGGCCCTTCTTGAGGCCACACAGCTTCAGAACACACTTCCTGCTGGGCAAGTTGTGGGTCTAACAGTTTCTTTAGGACTTGGAAGGCCACAGGCTTTTATGGGCCAGGCATATGACAATAT